GGGGTTCGCCTGTGGGGTGTTTGCAAGTGCAACTCGATCTTGGGCCTCAGGGATCATGACCTGAGCCGAAGGCAGAGACTCAACCGACTGAGCCACCCAGGCGTCCCAAGCTTGCAACTCTTGATGTCAAGGTTGTGAGTTCAAGCCCCACATTGGGCATGGAGCCTACTTAATTAAGAAAAATAAAAATTAAATAAATTAAATAAAAATTTTAAAAGATTTTTTTAATTTACAAAAAGGAGGGAACTGATTCTTAAGCTGGTGCTAGCTATATGGGTGTCTTTTTTTTTTTTTTAATAACCTAAGTATTCTTTGCAACCTACATATTATAACCTACTATATATATACTACATATTTTGTACGTGTGAAATTTTTTTTTTTTTAAAAGCATGATGGTAATGCTTTCTCTGTCTCCAGTTCAAATGAGAAATTCAAATGAGAAACACTAGCTTCACTTTCCTAGGCCCTTACCAGGTATTTCTCCCATAATAAGCACAATCATATGGTGAGAGAGCAGATACTGTCCAAGGTAGACCCAAGCGGCTGGGGCCCCTGGCAAAGCCCCCTGGATGCGGGGAGGGTTGCCCATCGTAGGCACTAATTCCTTCTGCCTTCCCACAGGTGTTGAAGTCCACAGGAGATGTGGCCGGAGGCCGGGCCCTGTATGAGGGGTATGCGGCAGTCACTGACGAGCCCCCTGAGTGCTTCCTCACCCTCAGGGACACCGTCCTGCTCCGGAAGGAATCTCGAAAGCTCATCGTTCAGCCCAACACTCGCCTTGAAGGTAATAGGACCCCCGAGCTCCCTTTGATGGGCAAAGGAGGCTTGGAACCCATCCCTGGGCTCAGGAAAGGCTACCTGGGGTGACTCCTGCCTCTCTCCCTCCCTGCCCAAGGCTCCCCATGCCCAAACCTAGGGCCCAAACCTTAGCATCTGTTACCACCAGCCCCCGCAACACAGGGCCGTGCTGTTTATAAGACAGCAACCAGAGGTTTGCAGGCCAAGTAAAAGAGACAGACCCCAGGCGTATGGGGAGGCCAGGCATAGTCCTGGAGGATGAGGCCTGTAGGTGTGTGGAGTCGAGGTGAGGGACAGGCAGGAGGTGGAACCCAGCAGGCTGGTGGAACTCAGGGGACAGTGTGACTCTGCAGAGCCCAAGAGAGAGATGAGCAGCCCCATGTGCCCCCTTCTCAAGTGATGACTCTGTTTCCAAAGCCTTGACCCTGGCCAGGCTGCACTTAGACCTGTTGTCTTAGAGGCCCCCTGCTGCATTCACTTTCCTCTCTCCTGACCTGTCTTTCCTGATGCCTGTCACTGAGGCACCTCAGCCAAGGTGGTACAGGTAGCGTTAGAGCTGTGCTGGGACCTTGTCTTTGTCCGTAAAGCCTGTGTGCTGGGTGCCGAGGCTGCAGCTGACCTGGATGAGGTCCTTCACGCTTTTGCTGCTCTCCGTGGCTTCACTCTCTAAATCCTTGCCATGGGAGCACCTGGCTGGCTCAGTCGGTAGAGCATGCAACTCTTGATCTTGGGGTAGTGAGTTCGAGCCCTACTTTTTTTTTTTTGACAGAGATCACAAGAAGGCAGAGAGGCAGGCAGAGAGAGGGGGAAGCAGGCTCCCTGCTGAGCAGAGATCCTGATGTGGGACTCGATCCTAGAACCCTGAGACCATGAGCTGAGCTGAAGGCAGAGGCTTAACCCACTGAGCTACCCAGGTGCCCCTCAAGCCCTACATTGACATAAAGCTCACTTACAAAAATAAAGTTAAAATAAAACAAATCCTCACCATAACCCAATGAGATAGTTACAGTTTACATTTTACAGTTAAGAAAACTGAGGCCCAGAGACAAAAATCGCTCGAGGCTTATGGCTCTTTACTGGAGGAACCTAGAGTTAGATTAAGAATGCTTCTCTCGGGGCGCCTGGGTGACTCAGTGGGTTGAAGCCTCTGCCTTCAGCTCAGGTCATGGTCCCAGGGTCCTGGGATTGAGCCGCTCAGGGGGGAACCTGCTTCCCCCTCTCTCTCTGCCTGCCTTTCTGCCTACTTGTGATCTCTGTCTGTCAAAAAAAAAAAAACCTTAAAAAAAAAAGACTGCGTCTCGCTCCCACAGTCACGGGCAGTTGTGAAGGTTAAATGAAATAGTTACCTCCTACTGGCAAGGAAAACACATTTGCGAGGCTGATTTCTGACTCTTCGTGCTACACTCCAGAGGTCCCGGGGGATTTGGTCCTAACCCCTGGCAGGCCTCAGGGACCCCTCTTCCTGGCTCACTGGCCTCCAGGTTCATGTCTTTCCATTTTCTAACCCTCTGAGCTTGTCCCGCTCCCATAGCCTTTGCACTCACTGTCTCCTCCGCTGGGCACAGTCCTCCCCCAGTCTTTGGTTTGTCCTTCCTGTCATTTTGGTCTCTGTTAAATGACACCTCCTGGGAGAGGCTGTCCCTGACCCCTCCTCCTAAAGCAATCCCTTGATGCACCATCACTCTGCTGTTTTCCCGTCTGCTTTGCTTCCACATTAGCAGGAACAGCACATCCCCAGCAAGTAGCTAGCATAGGGCCTGGCACACACGAGCTGCTCATGAGGAAATGGACAAATCATGCTGGGCACATAGTAAGTGCTCATTAAAACATCATCGCTTTGATTGTCCCGGCCCTGTGTGGGCCCTTGGGTATGGACACGTGAATCAGACCCAGGCCCTTGCCTCAAGTAGTCCATAGTCCATTAGGAATGAGACCCGAAGAGAAATGATTACACCCAGGGAGTGTTGGTAAGCACCCAAGAGGCCCAAACAGTGGTCTGAACACTTAGAGAAGGGAAGATCCCATTCACCTTTGAGGGAATCAGGGAAGGTTCTGGTGAGGAAGTGGTTAAACTAAGCCTGTAGAGCAGGTAGCGTTTTCACAGGTATGGGGATGATGATGGTGGTGATGACAAGGAATTTCGAGGACGTCTGTGTGCTTGTCACTGGGTAAAACTTTGGATGGATGAACTCATCGACCCCAGGAGGAAGTTATTGCCCCCATTTTTCAGTTGGAAACTGAGACACTGAGCGGCCATGCATTCGCCAGGATTTGAACGTGTGCCGTCTGAACCCAAAAGCTGTGCTCTTAGCTACGTATACCCCACAGGGCCACGAAGCACAGCAGGGCCTGTGAGTGGGTGGAGTAGTGGAACCATGTTGGAGGGAAATGCTTCCCATGAGCATTCAGGCGACCTTTGGAACAGCCCATGAGTTCAGTGGGTACCCTTTTGGCTCCGCTGGGTGCTCGAGAGAATGTTGCTAGTGGTAGCTAGTGCTCGAGCGTTCACTCAAGGCATTACTGTACCCAATCACGGTAGCTTCTTGAGAGAGGAGGTATTGTGTTCACCCCTACTTTACAGGTGAGGAAAATGAGGCTTAGTGAGTTGTGAAACTTGCCCAAGGTCCCACAGTAGACAGAGATAAAACAATTGTCGGACTGTAAGCTCCCGGAGGCCAAGGACCGTCTGTCTAACCTTACATGACACCAGAGTATATACTTATTAAGTGAATGAATGAGCGAATGAATGTAACAATTCATTGAATACTCCCCCTTTAATGCTTCCTTCTTCCTAGGGTTATTGCAAGGATTAAATAAGATAATAAAACACTGAGCACTTTTTGGCACAGGGTAAGAGGTCAGGAAAAACCACCTGCTCCTAGGGTTATGATTGTGATTATCTGCTTCCTATTAAGACCTTTTCCTGCTGCCTTTTCTCCGTCTCTGCAGGTTCAGAAGTGCAGCTTCTCGAGTATGAGGCCTCGGCTGCTGGCCTCATCCGATCCTTCTCTGAGCGCTTCCTGGAGGATGGGCCCGAGTTGGAGGAGGTCCTCACCCAGCTGGCCACAGCCGATGCCCGCTTCTGGAGGTTCCCCAGTGAGGCCCCATCTGGCCAGGCTTGAGACAGATTTATGCAGCAACTCCCCCAACTCCATCAAATCAGGGCCACAAGTAGCCCCTCCTTTCCTGGGTATGCTGGGGGAGGAGCTGGAGCTTGGACCTTGGTGCTACCTCAGCCGAGGGTGGTGACACTAACCCCTTCCATTTGTCGGCACTTTCCAGTTTCCCGAGTGCTTCTCCTGTGTTGTTTCATTTGATCTGCACTGCCCTTGGTAGAGTGGGCAAGGCCCACCCAGCTCCTTACCCTGCTTCCCAGATGAGGGAATGGAAATTCCGAGAAGCGACCTGTCTAGATGCTACAGGACTCAAAATGCCTCCCAATCCAGTGCTCTTCATGTGTTGCTTTTATATCCAGAAAATAAACACAAGAAACAACCACCATCTTTGCAATTTGTGTGAATCCTTGCCTCACTTCTCTTTTGCTCCCAGCAGGGTAAAGGGATCAAAGCCTGGGGAAGGTCAGTTTTAGGGCCCCTCTACAACAGGATTTTGATATCACCTCTAAAGGATGAGACACAGGCACAAGGAGGAACGTGGCACAATTTTTACAGTCCTCCTTTGTGGTGTATCCTGTATTTAAAAATATTCCAGGAACCCTAACGCTGGAAACTCTCAATTTCAGTCCGTCCTAGGATTTAATCTCTCAACCCTGTGCTCTGTTTCTCTGAACCCAGACCTGTAGAATAAGATGGGAAGAAAGGTCATACTCCCTTTACAGCCAGGTTAACCCTGAGGACAAAGGGGTGTGAGATTTGTTTCACTTTTCAGGGACACTAGAAGGGCTGCTTCAAGGCGAGAGGGTCCTGCCAATAATCCAGAGATTGCAGGGCCCAGCGGTTCCAGCTGGGAAGGAGCAAAGAGAAACCATACGATCTGGGATGAGGGATTGCGCCTCAGCAGGGTAAACCAGCTAAGAGGCCGTCATTCCCTGCCTGCCTGGTGGCCTCTCAGCTCTGGGCAGGAAAGCCGAGCGCCCGGAACCTTTGTACGTGCTCTTCCCAGCGCGCTTCCCAGAGCCCGGGCGCTTTTGGGCGTTGCGCGGTGGCTGGCCGGAGCCTGTTACCAAGGCGACGCCTGCAAAGATGGCGGCTGCGTCTTCGTCGGATTCCGACAGCGGCCGAGCTGAGAGGTGAAGGCCGGGGTCCTCGAGGCCGTCTTTCCTACAGATGTAAAGAGGGGGGGCTTGGACCCCGGGATCTGGTCTCCTTCGCTTCTCGAAAAGCTCTGGCAGTCATTGAAGGGATCTTAGGGAACAAATAGGGAAACTGAGCCCCGAGGAGTGAATGAATGGGCTTGTGCGAGTGACTCGAGGTCACTCAGTGAGTCTCTGGAGGAGCCTGGACTTGGCCCCAGGCGTCTGCACCCCCATTTCAGAGCCCCCTGCACACGTCACGCTCAGAGACTAGATCCCGCAAAGTGTTTTTTCCCCTCCCTTGGGACTCAGCCGCCACCTCTTTCCCCTCCTCTCGCAGCAATGAGGCAAGTTCGAAATGGCTGGACGCACACTACGACCCCATGGCCAACATCCATACCTTTTCCGCCTGCTTGGGTGAGTCTCTGGGACCAGGAGATGGAGCGGAGTAACGGCTCTGTAGCGAAGTCTCAAGGATTGGGAAACTCTGGCTTACGGTCCTTTTGTGTTTTCCAGCGCTGGCAGATTTGCACGGGGATGGGGAGTACAAGGTAAGCAAGCACCTGACCCCAGCAGAAAAAGAACTGGGGCGTGGGAGAGCGTGAGAACTGACATTTCCTGATGGCTCCAGAAGAGTTCAGCATAATCTGGAACCCATGTGTACGCTGAAAAAGTACATTTAGTGTCCAGTGTTATTTTTATGTGGATAGTCAAGAGAACCTGTTGATTTCATAGTGGACTGCACAAAGGAAAGCAGAACAAAATGCTGTTGGGGATTCTACTAAGACAAAGCCTCTTAATTTTGTTGACTTGTAATTCTTTGCTGGAAGGGCACATCCCTTGGTTGGGGGTGTGGCATTGGAATCTGGCGAGAAAGGAGAAGAGAGGAAAGTGGGAGTTTTATGTTTATTGAAAGGGCATAGATTTTAAGATTAGCCATGAGCTGATAATTGGTGAAGCTGGATGCTGAATATTTGGAGGTTCATTACATGAGTCTCTCTGCTTTCGTATATGTCTGAATCCTTCCATAATAAAAAGGTCGAATTTTAAGTTTAATTTAAAACATAAAGATAGGGGTGCCTGGGTGGCTCAGTGGGTTAAGCCTCTGCCTTCGGCTCGGGTCATGATCCCAGGGTCCTGTCTGCTCGGTGGGGAGCCTGCTTCCCCCTCTCTCTCCGCCTGCCTCTCTGCCTACTTGTTAATAAATGAAATGTTAATTAATTAAAAAATTAAAGATACAGGTTTTTTTTTAAAGATTGTGAAATATTTTGGGCTTACAGAAAGGTAGTTAACCTATTTTAGTATCCCTTTCTGGGCTAGACCCTCTTTGAGCATTTTCCCACACGTAGATATTACTTGTTCTCAACTTGTTAATGGGAAAATGGATTCAGAGAGGATGAGTAAACTTAGCAAATTTGTAAAAAGTGGCAGACCTGGGCCTGTCACATTCCCAGTCATGTGTTTATTCCACTGTTGCTCAGCGGTGGGCAGTGAACCCACAGTGGGCATGCTATTTGGGCCGTTAGAAGATAGCTCTGGAATCACATCCTTCACGGCGGGTACAGTAGAATTCGGTGGACTTTTGCCTCCAAATTCCGGTCCGTAAAGCATTCTGCAATTTGGCAAGCGTCCAGTGAACCCCAATAGTGTGTCACACATTGTACCGACACTAAACTAGGAAATGAATCAGTACACTGTCGGGAGGAGATATGACACTGGCCTCAGTTTGCCCATGATATTGACTGATTGGTCAATATCATGACAATCATAATGACTGATTGCTTGGCCCTGGGTTTATAGCACTGAAAGGTAGAGAAATCGCAGCCTCAATAACTAGCATGAAACATAAGCTGCTTTTGTGTAATCACTTTTTTAATGGTTAGTTTGTTGATTCCAAGCATCTGCCCTAGTGCCTGGCACACATTAGGTACTCAGTAAATATTTGTGGAGTAAACGAGTGGATGCTGAAATCAAAAATATGGAAAGGATGGGAGCAGCAGGGAGAGAATGGTGAGATCTATCTGGAGGTAACAGGGGGCAGTGATAAGTGAACTGGGTATTGAAGAATGAGTGAAATGTATGAAGAAGGTATGGAGGGAAGGAGGGGGAAAGCATTCCAGTCAGAGGAACAGTACAGGTGGAGGCACAGAGGCTTAGAAATCTGTAGCATATTTGGAAAGAGTAAATTTGGAGTTGGAAAGTGAAAACCAGTATAAAATAGGAGTTAAGACCACTGGTTGGGATTCAGACAAACCTAGAGTCTGGTCCCAGCTCTGGGATCTGGTTTCCAGCTTCTTTTCCATCACCTTCCCAGATCAAAGAGGCCTTGAAAGCCTCACTTGAGAGAATGAGCTTGTGTGGCAGCCACAGTAGCTTGGATGATAGATTAGAGGGTGGAAAAGAGGGACCGAGGAGCTTGAGTCTCCTGTCTGTCCACAGAGCACATCGTACGCTGCGTGCGTGCTTGTGTTTCCTTAGCTCAGTTCCCATCTGGAAACCAGGCCTCAGAGGCCCAGATAGGAGTTTCCAGCACCCCACTGACTTCAGCCACCCTCCACTGTCCAGAATAGTGCCTGGCGTGGAGCAGACTCTGAAGAAATGTTTGCTGAATGAATAATGAAAGCATCATCTGCCACCCACTCCTCACTAGCATTCACCAGGTTCCGTAATTCATTACCTCATTTGATTTTCACTGCAAGCGTCATGAGGTAGATAGTCCCCTCTTGCGGGTGGGAAGACTGAGGCTTAGAGAGTTTAATCAGCTTTTCCAAGGTCACACGTCTTGCAAGCCTTATTACAAAATCTCCTTGCCCCCGACTTGGCGCACTGGTGTGTGAGTGAATGAATGTGCGCCAGTAAAAAGGCTAAGCCCGAAAAAATTTTTTAAATCTAAGAAATAAATAAAATAAAATAAAATAAGTCTAAGCCTGAGAAAGGAGTCAGTGGAGGGGTCTTTAGATCTTGAGTCTGGAATAAGCCAGCCTCTTTCTACAGCTGGTGGTGGGGGACCTTGGCCCCGGTGGGCAGCATCCCCGCCTGAAGGTGCTCAAGGGACCCACAGTGCTGACTGAAAGTCCTTTACCTGCACTGCCAGCTGCGGCCGCCACCTTCCTCATGGAGCAACACGAGCCCCGGACGCCAGCTCTAGCACTCGCCTCAGGCCCTTGTGTGTATGTATATAAGAATCTTAGGCCCTACTTCAAGTTCAGCCTGCCCCAGTTGCCTCCAAACCCCCTGGAGCAAGATCTTTGGAACCAGGCCAAGGAGGTAAGTGATGTCAGGGGTAGGAATAAGAAGGCAAAAATGCGGCCACTGAGTCCTCATTCCCTGCCTGACTCTGGAGCTCACAGGCTTACCTTTCTTCCTTGCTGTTGTAGGACCGGATTGACCCCTTGACCCTGAAGGAGATGCTGGAAGGCATCCGGTGAGAGCCCACTTACCCCTTCATATGCCTCCCACCCCTCCCGCAGTCCCCCAGACCCTCTCCTTCATCCCAGTGCTCTCCGTCTGATCCCCAGGGTCCTGTTTCTCCACTAAATCTGCCATGTTTGCCCCTTTCCTTTCAGGGAGAAGGCAGAGGTGCCTTTGTCTGTACAGTCCCTCAGGTAAGGGCCCTGTGGAGGGTCGGGCCTCCCGAAGCCACGGGGGGAGAAGGTGGCTAAGGAGTGGCCTGTGGAGGGAAGTAGCCCAGGCCATGCACCTGCCAGTTCTCTGTGCGCACAGGTTTTTACAGCTGGAGCTGAGTGAAATGGAGGCATTTGTGAGCCAGCACAAGTCCAAGTCCATTAAGCGGCAGGTAACGTCCCTTCTCTCTTGATTTCCCTCTAAAAAAATATGGACAGTTTTTAAAAGACAATGTAACATCAGTGGTAGCTTCTGCAACCAAACCCGACTCAGTTCACTCTGCAGTTTCCTTTCCAGCCTGTGGCACACGTATACGGTCACAAAGCTGCGGAGCCTTCTCCATGTCCTGTTGACGGTGACAGCTTTGAATTGATATATAGTTACATAACTTTACATAACGTCTCTTGTCTTAAGAGTAAAGGTAATATGTTCTCATAAGCGAATAAAGAGAAGTATAAAGGAGAAGTATAAATGACTATAATCTCACCACCCAGAGGTCCTCGTTCTTACTATTTGGGTACATTTTCTTCATAAATATGCTTTATAATTTGCTTCCCTTGAGTACATAACAGTGTATCTTGAGCATTTAAATAGTCTTTAAGAACTCTATTCTTAATGGCCCCTTAATTATTTCATTGATTATTAATTATTCCATTCATAGTTTATGGAACTATTCATGTATACTGGATAAGAAATGTATCCCTTTTATTCACTTCATGTTTTTCTTAGTTATGATTTTAATGGTTTTATTGGTGAACGTGTTCATGAAAGTCTGGTGGTTACTGACCTAGGGGCTGACCCTCAGTCCAGTCCCAGAGCTGCTCTCTGTGGTTCAGAAAGCCTCATGGGAACCCTCCCCTTCTGTAGAAGCCACTCAAACCAAACACATGGACCAATGCATGCGTTAGTTTTTGGCTAGCCTTAGACCAACGCTGTTCTCTCCTGCCAACCAGCAGCTCGGAGCCACAGTTACCAATATCTTTGAGCACTTACAAAATCATGAAGTAAATTAATTATTGCTTAAAAGATGCAGTTTGGGGGAGGGAAGAAATCTTTCCAAGATACATATGTCATGATTATATATTTGGGCGCCATTACTATCCACATTTCTATAACCTTTCTCTTTCCACCAGGCATTAGAATGATTCCTCTCTTTTAATCTTAAAGATAATCACACAATGAGCAGTTTTATCTTACAAAAGAGGTATTTTGGTCCTGCTAGATTATTTTCGTAGGAGAAATTCCTAAAAAATGGACCATCCTCTTCTCTTTTGGTTTTTTCTCCAATCACAATCACAAAAGGAACATGTGCACGCTGTAGAAATTCTAGAAAGGCACAATGAAGAATTAAACATCACCTGTGATTTCATTGTCCAGAGATAACCAGTTTTTGTATTTATGAGTTTAGCCTTCCGGCATGGTTTTTTATTCAGATATTTTCTAATCTAGGATTATACTGACATAACGCTTTACCTATTTTTCTCTCTTAGTACATTAGAAATGTTCTGGTTGTCATTGAATCTTCCTTTAAAATGTGATTTTTACTTTTATTTTTTATTTATTTTTTTAAAAGATTTTATTTATTTATTTGACAGACAGAGATCACAAGTAGTCAGAGAGGCAGGCAGAGAGAGAGAGGGAAGCAGGCTATCCACAGAGCAGAGAGCCCGATGTGGGGCTCGATCCCAGGACCCTGGGATCATGACCTGAGCCGAAGGCAGAGGCTTTAACTCACTGAGTCACCCAGGCACCCCTAAAATGTGATTTTTAAAGTCACTACATGGTTTTTGATCACATGGAAATTTGTAATTGACTTAAACAAGCCTCTTTTTTAGAAAATTAGATTTGTTGCAATTAACGCTTTTGCACATGAAACGTCCATCCCATCTCTGGTGCTCTTCCTCCTCCTTTGCCCTCTTTCTTCCCTCCTTTGGTATTCTGGAGGTGTCTGTGGGGATGGCGTTTGGGGATCCCCTGGGTGACTCCTGAAGTCCTCCTGCAGACAGTCATCACCACCATGACCACCTTAAAGAAGAACCTGGCCGACGAGGATGCTGTGTCCTGCCTGGTGCTGGGCACCGAGAACAAGGAGCTCCTGGTACTGGACCCAGAGGCCTTCACCATTTTGACCAAGGTCAGTGTGGGGCCTGGCCCTGGGCACAGCTGAGGCCTAGGCTGCGTTCCCTCCCTCTGTTCCCCCACATCTTCTGCCCACAGTTCTTGGTAATACATGTTGTAGAAAACATAAAATATAGATAAGCATAAAGAAAAAAATATACGTCCAAGAAAATACCACCACCCACAGTATCTACTATTAAAGTATTGGTATGTCTTTCCAGAAATTTCATATTGCGACACAGATCTATAACGTATAAATACATTTTTTTACAAATATGACTTAGTGGGGGCGCCTGGGTGGCTCAGTGGGTTAAAGCCTCTGCCTTCGGCTCAGGTCATGATCCCAGGGTCCTGGGATCGAGCCCCGCATCGGGCTCTCTGCTCCGTGGATAGCCTGCTTCCCTCTCTCTCTCTGCCTGCCTCTCTGCCTACTTGTGATCTCTGTCTGTGAAATAAATAAATAAAATCTTTAAAAGAAAAAAATGACTTAGTGGTACGGGATCGTATAACCTGCCCTTTTCACATAATGGTAGCCCATCAATGTCTGTCCATATGTATATATAAAACCAAACCAGCCATTTTTTAAAGATTTTTAAAAGAATGTATTTATTTATTTGATAGAGGGTGAGCAAGTGAGAGAGAGAGAACAAGCTGGAGGAGGGGCAGAGGGAGAGGGAGAAGCAGGCTCCCTGCTGAGCAGGGAGTCTGACATGGGGCTCAATCCCAAGTCCTGGGATCATGACTTGAGCTGAAGGCAGACGCTTAATGATTGAGCCACCTGGGCACTCCCGCCCCTTTTTTCCTAAAGATTTCTGTGCATCCTCATCTAACTACTTCTTTAGGATACATTCCTAGAAGTGGCAATGTTTCATCAAAGGGGATAGACTTGAAGGCTTCTGCTGCATGTTGCCGAGTTTCCCTCCAGAAAAACTGAATAAGCTTAAACTGACCCACGGTGACTGAGGAGTTTGGGAATTTGGACAAGGAACCAACTCAGAGGAGTTATTTCAAGGTGAGGAAGGACAGGGGTGCCAGGAAAACTGGAATGTTTGAGCCTCTCCTTTGCAGATGAGCCTACCCAGTGTGCCTGTCTTCCTGGAGGTTTCTGGCCAATTCGATGTGGAGTTCCGGCTTGCCGCCGCCTGCCGTAACGGAAACATCTATATCCTGAGAAGGTAGCTGCATCGTGGTCTCTGGGGCCAAGAGGAGCATCTCAGAACCCCGATGGTTTTAGGGGCTTTGGAGCTGGTATTCGGGAGTGGAAAAGCTCTTTCCACTGCAGCTCCCCAGCTGGGAACTTGACAGAGAAGGCTGAGCTCATGTGCGTAGGGGGCCATCTGGAGGCTTGTGTGATGGGGACCGGCAAAGTGAGAGACTGGGCAGGGCCGCTATAACGCATGAGAGGTACCGCCAGAGATGGGAAGAAGTAAAAATAGCCTCCTGTGGCCGTCCGGCTTTATAGGTACGGAACGTGTCTTTGCGCATTAGGTTGATACTCCTTACAACATTCGTCTTCCAATTCCAGAAATATCTTTGAGCACCCACTATGTATTAAGCATTATGTAAGGTATCAGGGATGTATTGATGTATTGTTAAATGATATAAATGTAGTCCTTGCGTGCTTTGGAGGAAAAATACAAGCTCAGTGGGAAGAAATAGCAGGGCCAGGATGATCGGTGAGCACCGGTCTGCGGAGATAATGTGGAAGGTTAAGAAGGAGCCAAGTGTTCGAAAAGTGGGGAAGAAGTGTTGTAGGCGGAGAAAACTTAAGCAAATTCAAGATGGGAAAGATACTGGTGTGTGCCCCTGAAGCTTGATGGGCAAGGAGGAGGGTGGAAAGAGGTGTGCGGAGACCAGGTCTGACTCGTGCATGGCCCTGCTAGGACATGGTAAGGATTTAGAATTTGGAAAACTATTATGGGGTTTTAATCAGAAGAATGACGCGAGCCATTTATATTTTTAAGAGATTGCTCTGCTGGGTGGAGAGTAGATTGGAAGGAGGCCCAGAGACCAGAGGGAGGCTCTCAGATGGGATATGATCATCAGACTTGGTGATGAAGAAAGGGGAGCCATAGCCTGTGATTGGTTGGCTGGAATTACCCCTTCTTTCTGGATAAGAGAAACTAAGATTCAGAAGCCAGGAAACCAAAAACAGGGCATTTACACAGAGCAGACTTCTCACGCATTTCTGATGAGTTGGTGAACTGCCTCCTCTAGCACCTCGTCTAGCCGAAGGTACACTCACGGCAAACTGTTCAAGGCCAGGTTCTCACACAGATCACTGCAATGAAGGCAGCAGGGAGACGGGGAAAGAAAACACACTTTATGTTATCCAAGGTCACACAGGGGCCAAGTGGTAAAGGTGGAAATAATACTACGGTCATCTCCTTTGGGGCCAAGGTTCCTTCTGGGATAGTTGGTGAGGCTTAGAAAGAGGAGGGTCTGCCAGGGAAGGAGAGGAGGTTTCTCTGGGGCTTGGAGAGTGTGTCTTTATCCCACAGAGACTCCACGCGCCCCAAGTACTGCATCGAGCTGAGCGCCCAGCCTGTGGGGCTCGTCCGGGTACACAAGGTCCTGGTGGTCGGCAGCACCCAAGAGAGCCTGCATGGCTTCACCCACAAGGTGTGGCTTTCCCCACCCCGTCCACGTGTGTCTCCCTGGTTCCCCTTCAGCAAGAGATTCCTTCTGGCGTCCCTTTCCCTGGAACTCCAGCCACCCCTTCTTTCCACGCCATGCCCTGAACCCCCCCAAGTTAAGAAGCTCTTCCTTCCCAGGGTAAGAAGCTGTGGACAGTGCAGATGCCAGCAGCCATCCTAACCATGAACCTCCTAGAGCAGTGCTCACGGGGCCTGCAGGCCGTCATGGCTGGGCTGGCCAACGGAGAAGTCCGCATTTACCATGATAAGGCCCTGCTGAATGTCATCCGCACCCCGGTGAGCTGCTCACTCCTCTTTGCCCCCCATTCCCACCTCTGGGACATCTTAGCTGCCTCTCCTGATCCCTCTCCACCTGATGGCCTTGACTTTTTATGCATTTTTTTTTAAGATTTTATTTATTTATTGGAGAGAAAAAAAGCATGAGCATGAGCAGAGGCGGGGGTCAGAGGGAGGCAGGCAGAGGGAGAGAGAGAAGCAGACTCCCCACTGAGCAGGGACCCTAATACGGGGCTCGATCTCAGGACCCCAAGATGATGGCCTGAGCCAAAGGCAGATGCTTAACCAACAGAGCCACCCAGGTGTCCCTTGACGTCTTTCAGAAACATTTGTTGAACATCTCATAAGCATAACTCACTCTATTCTGGGGATAAAATGATGTCTAAATCCTGCCTTCGGGGAATTTATAATCTAAGGTGACAGCCAACCAGAGTCACAGCTAATTCAAATACAAGCGAGACTAAAGCCGAGCAGAGGACTGACAGAGCTCAGGGGGCCTGGTGACTGGGGTGGTGGGGAAGCACGGGGTGGAACTCGCAAGTCATTTCCCAGAGCAAGTGACAGTTCTGCTGGGCCTCAAAACGGTTTGGCAAGTGGGTGCGTGGAGGAAGAAACTTCTAGACCAGAAACAGCATGAACAAAGGCTGAGAGGCATAAGTATTCTTGATGAAGGAATCCAGGTGGCTTGATGAGTTTGGACCAGAGTTTTTCAGACACTGAGTTGTGACTTATTCAACTCACTTAATGGGTCACAACCAGCAACAGAAAAAAGAAAGCTCAGAGTATATCAGATGTGAAACTTGCATATAGGTATATATAAAGTGTCCTACGTCACAGTGTCAAGTTTGAAAGCAGCTGGTTTGGACCGCAGGCTGTTGGGAGACAGGTGAGGTGGGGTTTGGGGGTGGTAGAGGAGAACAGAAAAGGCAGGCTGGAGTCAGATGTGGAAAGCCTTGAATTGTTCTAACGGGAAAGATAAAAGCCACTGGAAGTTTTTTGGCAGAAAATAGACATGATCGCGTTTTTGAAAGGCAGCAATGTGAAGGACAGCCTGGGGAGAAACACTAGGCTGGGGGCCTATTAGAAAGCTGACCCCAGAAGCCCGGTGACGTTTATTCTGGAACCGTGGCTGTGGCAGTAAGGTTGAAAGGCAGTGAGAAATACAAGACTTATTTGGGAGGCCGCATTGCCCCAGGCCTTACCTGAAATCTCTTTATTATATCATATCTGGGGTCTCCCAGGCTTATCACCCCACCGCAGTCTTGCTCTCCTCTCCAAGCTATTTTCCCCCCTAAACGCTGGTGTCTCCATCCTAGGACGCAGTGACCAGCCTTTGCTTCGGCCGCTACGGGCGGGAAGACAACACCCTCATCATGACTACACGGGGTGAGCAGACTCAGGCCGGGCAGGGGTTTTAGAGTTAGGCGCCAAGGTGATGAGCCAGATCCTGGGAAGGAAGAGGTGGCTGTGACGCCCAGCCAGGCCTGGGTTTGGAAGCAAGGCCTGCAGACACAGTGTCTCCAGTTCCCCCCAGTCTCCCCAGAGCCTGCACAATGCCAGGAACATCACAGTCCATAAGTAACTGCTGAATGAATGAATGAATGAATGAATGAATGGTAAGACACTGTTAAGACACACTGTATTCCTTCTAGAAACCCAGAATCTCAGCAGGAAAACAGACATGGACAGAAATGGCTCTATCTGAGGCAGATTGCTTGGGGAGGACAGACCAGGAAGGACAGATCTGTTCCTGTGTGTCCACTTCCCTAGGCGGTGGCCTGATCATCAAGATCCTGAAGCGTACAGCGGTGTTTGTGGAAGCAGGAGGTGAGGTGGGCCCCCCACCAGCCCAGGCGATGAAACTCAGTGTGCCCCGAAAGACCCGGCTTTATGTGGATCAGACACTGCGAGAGCGGGAGGCTGGCACCGGTGAGACTCAGACTAGGTCTTTTCTCTTCCTTCTTCGTGGCTTTGAAGCAGCAAGAAACAGGTGAACCCTGGGTACCCTGGGTACCCTGAGCCTTGGGAGACGTGGGCAGCCAGCCAGGTCTCTGGAAGCACAGAGAGAGCCTAGGAGGTACACCCTGTCTGCAGTACCTCCCTCCAGGTGGAAGATGTCGGGGATGAGGGCTTGCGCCTTATCAATGCGGAGGAGAAAACAGTTGCTTCTAGATGCAGGAATTCTTACGAGAGAAGTGGAACTGGACCAGGGTTCTTCCTTTTCCTGTTCGGTTTTTCCCTGCTCTAGCATCGTTCTTCCATTCATCTAATACCTGGGATTATGCCCAGTGTTCTGCCAGGTGCCTTGAAATAGGCTAGGCCCGACCTGAGGAGCTCCGTCCCTCTTGCTAATTACATGCTGCATGACAGGTATAGAAGAGGTCTCTGCAAAGAGGTCTCTGGTGGGGCTCACAAGAGTGAGGAAGTTGGCCTGGGAGCCTGGGAGAGGCTTCAGAGAGAGCGGACGTTGGACTTCACCCTGAAATGATTACAAGTCCACCCACCAGAAAGGGGTGGGTAAGAGCGATTCAGGCACAGGACGCTACCTGGATCCAAGGAGTGTCTGCATGTAGTCCCAGGCACGTGCAGGAAGGCGACCAGAAGCAGAAGGTGACCAGAGCAGAGGCTGGCAAGGCAGGTCAGAGCAGGCTCCGAAGGGCCTGGAGTGCAGAGCTAAGATATTTGGTCAATTCTAGGTAGTGGGGGCTGGGAAGGATGTCAAACAGAAAAATACAGTAACTCAGCCAGCTCTGTCTCATAAAGGGACCTTGCTTACACTTGTAAGGGAGAAATTAGAGGATAAAAGAGTTAGCAGGCTATTACAGCCTGGAGAATCCAAGAGAAGCATTTGAAACATTTGAGAAATAATTAGGAAGTTCTCTAAGGTAACCAAATGTAAAATATACCAAAAAAATCAGTAATTTGGTCTATACCAACAGTAACCAGTCAGAAAATATAATGCAGAGTTTCCATTCACAATAGCAACAAAACCCATAGAAATGAACTTAACAAGAAAATGGCAGTCTAAGAAAGAAAGTTACAAAACTCTCCAGGACATAAAAGACTACCGGAATATTTCAATGATGAGACTTCGCAAGGCTCAGGGTAGCAGGACCTAATGCCTAAAGCTGTTCATTAATGAATTAATAGCTTCTAAAATTAATCTAGGAACATAGCCATGTTACAGGGCAAATCCCAATAGGGTTTACTCTGAGGACTTGACCAGTTGGTTTTGTTTTGTTTTGTTTTTTTAATTTTATTTTTATTATTTATTTGACCAAAGAGATCACAAGTAGGCAGAGAGGCAGGCAGAGAGAGAGACGGGGAATTAGGCTCCCCACTGAGCAGAGAGCCCAATGCAGGGCTCGATCCTGTGATCATGACCTGAGCTGAAGGCTGAGGCTTAACCTCTGAGCCACCCAGACGCCCCTGACCAGTTGATGTTAAGAGTAAATCTAAGAATTGGCAGGGGGAGGGGGGAATTAAAGAATGAGGGGACCTGGCCGTCAGGAGAATGATCTGTGAGGCTGTAGGAATTGGCAGTGGTGGTAGGACTACGGGAACTGTCGCCGATCCAGGCCACATCTAGAAAGTCCAAAAACGGACCCTCCTCCGAGTGGAAGGTCCATATATGTTAAAGGTGTTGTTTTAGAATAGTGGGGAGAGGCGAGACTGTCCAAAAAGCATGATCAGGACAACTTGCTTCTAGAAAAACCAAACAGAGCTCTACTTCAAACCAAACACATTCATTCTGGGTAAACTAAAATAAGTTGTAAAAGTACCAGAGGAGAAAGGAAAGATTAATGGTGGGCTACCATAAAGACAGAAAACTTCTGAGCAGCAGAAGGCCCCGCACACAAGGAAAGGAGCAGAATCAGCCTGGGAAACCAGCATGCGAAGTCTGGAAGATTCCCAGGGGGAACAGAGGGAGCACGGGCTCCGGGGATGGCTTTGAGGGAGAGGCCTCGGGCCTTGGCAAATGACGAGCCTCGAGGGCAGGACCTGGGTGACTCGGTGGGTGGGGGGTGTGGAGACTGAGGAAAGGAGATGAGGTGGGTTTCCACGGTGCTGAGTGTGAGGTGTTGGTGTGGGACGTTAGGGTTGCCCAGAGGAGGGGGATGGAGGGCAAGACTCGAGGGGACACCAGCCCTTCCGGCAGAATCTCAGGGGCGGTCCGGGAGACTGGGATTGTGCGTGAGGGCAGTGCGGTGGTCGGAAATCAGGAAGGAGGAAGCCACGTGTGGCCCACAGCGCCCTGTGTCACTGGGAGGCCAGGCCATGTCACCTCCATCTTCCCTTTCCCCACATTCCCTGCCGCGCAGAGCAGGGTCTCGCATGTCTGAGCGGCTGCCCACGCGGGAGACCCCTCTCCCCCACCTCTGCTCCCTCCTACCCTCCTGACCTCTAGCACCAGCCCTTTGTGTCCCTGTCCTCAGCCATGCACCGGGCCTTCCAGACCGACCTCTACCTGCTGCGCCTCCGGACTGCCCGTGCCTATGTGCAGGCCCTCGAGTCCAGCCTGAACCCTGTGTCCGTGACGGCCCGGGAGCCCCTCAAGCTACACGCTGTGGTGAGTGAACACCCCGGGGGGGGGGGTGGTCAGGCCATCTCAGGGCTGGAGGGACAAAGGTCGAGGGTGAGTAGGAACCCCTCAGCCCCAGAGCCAATTCAGAGCCCACAAGGCCTTGTGCCTACGTCTCAGCCCCGAAGGCCCAGAGACCAAGTCTCTATCTTCCTTCAAGCGGGCGCCCTCTCTCCTCTCTGCCATGCTGCCTCTTCCTCAGCGGCTACAGAGTGGGCCAGACTCCTCAGCTCCTTTGGCCCATGCTGTGCCTCACACAGGCCCCTAGATTTGGGCCAGGCTTCGCAAGTAGCCACCAAGGGACATTTCTTCCCGGCACTGGAGGGACTCTCACAGCCAGGCGACGAGGAACAAAGCGGTTCATTCGAGTACCCGCGGGCAGCCTGAGGTGTCGGGACTACCTGGTGCCGGGAGGGGAAGTCCTGAGACTGGCCCAGGCACAGGAGGAGGAGCCCTGCACTCGGACACAAGTGACCGCAAGGTCATCTGGGCTCTGGCCAGGGCTCAGTGGGTCCCAGAGGTGTGCTGCCTGATCCAACCGGGTTTCCGATTTCTCTCTCCCTAAAGGAAGTAGGTGGGGAGGGGGAAACAGGCTGCAGAGCAACTGAGGCTAGGAGGGAGGAAAAAGAAGTCATTGTGGCCACCACAGGACGAGAGCAGGCAGTGGGGACAGCCTGGGAAGACGGGCAGGGATGGTGGTGAGGCCGCAGGTGGGAGCTGGGGCTTCCGTCCCCAGGCCAGCTCTGCCTCTGACAACTGAGTGGCCTGCACCAAGCCCTTTCCCCTCTCTGGGCCTTTGCTGGTCCCTGTACAGAGGAGCCAGCCTCCTGGGCTTCCGAGGGGCCCTGGATGAAGGGCAGGACAGTGCGTTAGAGTAGTTGGAAAAAGGTGACTCGAGGACACGGGTGAGAAAGCTGGAGGGCAGGGCACATGGGATTCAGCGCCCAGGGCTGCGGTTCTAAGGGCTTTCTCCACTCACTCCACCTTCTCCACAGGTTCAGGGCCTGGGCCCCACCTTTAAGCTCACACTTCACCTGCAGAACACGTCAGCAGCCCGACCCATCCTGGGGCTGCTGGTCTGCTTCCTGTACAACGAGGTGCTCTATGCTCTGCCCCGGGCCTTCTTCAAGGTACTGGGCCTCACTGAGACACGGAGTGAGAAAGACCGGGCTGGGGCCTGGGGAGGTGCCCGCAGATCCAAACAGATGGGTGGTGAGGGAGCTGGCCGGGGGCTGCAGCCGCAGACCAGGCTGGGGCAAGGCAGAGATCTCTGGGGGGAATGCCCAAGACATGCCCTGCTGCTTTTCTTCCCGCCTGAGAGAGGTTTCGGGGAGCCACACAGAAGGTTCTGGGAGAACAGCTAGACTCGGGCTCCCACCTGTGCCTCTCTCAGAAACCCGTTGGTGCTGGGATCCCAGAGCCCATCCTGCCTTGCAGCCACACCTGCAGTGGGAATGGGAGCTTCTTTCTGCCCCAAGGAGACTTTCTTCCACAGTGAGGGGCCTGCTTTCCCGCCGGGTCCAGATCGGACCCTAAGTTGGGAGGACCAGAACCCGAGAAAGACTCTGGGACTTGGTTGAGAGTCAAGAGGTCTAGGTTTAATCCTGGACATCCGTGTGGTCCTGAAGCGTCTACTCCCCTCCCTGAACCCCATGCCCCGTGAATGGGCCTGCCCTGCCCGTGCTGCCCCCCAGATTCAGGCTACAGCGAACACAGCTTCTGTAGCAGGCGTGAGAGCGCCCTGGAATCTGGCAAACACTGTCCAGGCACGAGGGCTGATCTCCTTACCTCTTTGTCGCCAAACTCAGGTCCCCTTGCTGGTGCCAGGACTCAGCTACCCGCTGGAGACCTTTGTGGAGAGTCTCAGTGACAAGGGCATCTCAGATATCATCAAGGTGAGTGGCCAGTGAGAGTACATGGGGGGCCAGTGAGACCCAGGTGGACAAGGCCCCCGGGTGGCTGCTGGGTCAGGGTGGCTATCTGCAGCCTCCCGGTCCCCTTCAATAGAGCCCTGGTCGCCTGTGACAGGGGCCAGTACAGACCAGGCCAGGCTTGGGTTTGCAGGGAGCAGGGAGGACAAGGGGCCTGCCCCTCCTGCCACGGGCACTTGCTCTGTAGGTGCTGGTGCTTCGAGAAGGCCAGAGCGCACCCCTGCTGAGTGCCCATATCAACATGCCTGTGAGTGAGGGGCTGGCAGCCGCCTGACCCCCGGACTGGTGTTGAGAGCCCTGCGGAATCAGGACCAGGAAGATACAGCCCCTTGCACCGAGCTGGACAGAGCGAGTGGCCCCAGGCCCATTCCCCAATGTTGGGGCTACAGTTTCCTTCTCCCATGTATCTCGTTTCTCCCCACCTGGCTGTTGGGTGACCTGTAGAAGCAGGTCAGTGAGTACCCAGGAGGCTCAGCTCCTTCCCCTCAGGAAATCCCAGGCATTTGCCCCCTGGACGCCTGCTGCTCCTCCATCTCCCCACTTTTCTCCAGAAATCACACCCAAGTCTGAAGGAGGATCTCTGAAGTGGTAAAGGCGAGAGGAGGGGCATAGGCCCAGCCTTCTCCTTCGCTGCTTTCCTTAGACACATTTACTCGTGTGGCTGCAGGTCAAGGCCAGAATTGGCTACGGCCTGACCTGGGATAATCAGAGGCTTTTTCTTGAGCAAGACTGAGCCCCCTGTTGCTGCCTGGGGTTCTAGAGGCTTGGCTGACGCCTAGCTTGGCTTACAGGCAAATCACATGCTCCGATCTCTCCCTGTGAGCTAAACAAGGGACCTTCCTCTTTCTATTCAGGGGGCCCAGGGAGTGGCTGGCTCCTCACAGGGGGCTTTCCTGAAATTTGGGCTCAACCAAGGTCTTGGGCCTGTGATGCTCCGTGACGATACCCAAGGGAGGAACTGGTGCAGGAGGGCATAGAGGGCCCGTGCAGGGAGCTAGTGACTCCCGCCCCCACCAGGCTTCTGGAGCCCACACAGCTGCTGTCCTGATTTGGATGTTTGTGCCCAGAAAGGGCATCCCAGGAGAGGAAGGCTCAGTTAGAGCAGAGGTGGGGCTGGGGTGCACGGGCGTTTCTGGGGTCCTGGGGAGGTGCACGGGAGGCAGAAGCCCAGATGATTCTTCTGTGCCCTGGAGCCCAGATCAGTCATGTCGGTGGGAAGTTCACTGGGCAGTGTGGTCGGGTGAGAGAACGGAGCTGGGAAGGCATGGACTGGAGGCACTGAGTGCGGCTTAACCTTGAGGGAAGGCACATGTTTAGACCACAAGAACCAGAGACCCACAGTCCTGGCCCTCAGGGCCTCCTGGAGCCCTGGCCGGTCTGCCTGGCCCACCTCTCAGCCCTCTGCAAGGCTGGTGCTACCAGGGCCACCCCGAGCCACTTGTGAGCCAGGACCCTGCCCCTTGAGGGCCTGGATCTTCCTCTGTCTGACCAGGAGCAGCCTCCCGTGTGGTAGGTATCTCAGGCGTGTGGGAAGGAACCAACCCCTTCCGGGCTGCTTTCCCCACATGTAGAAGGAGCAGTTTGAGCAGATTCAGCTCTGGCATCCTGGGAGTTGGGCAGCCCCTCTAGAGGAAATGAGTCAACTGCAGAAAGGAGATATTTGACAGGGTAACTGTGGAGCTCCGGCCCTTGATGCCAAGGGCCCCAACCTAACTGCTGTGCCCAGGCAGTGGCCTCCGTGTCCAGGACACCAGTGAGGGATTGGCACCCACAGCTCACAGCCCACCCCCTAACCCTTCCAAGGAATGCATTCTGGGACCGGGTTAAGAGAAGCAAGTGGGGGAGGGGCGGTGCGTGGGTGGCTCAGTCAGTTGAGCAACTTACTCTTGATCTCAGGGTGGGGAGTTCAGTCCCTGCGTTGGGGTCCGTGCTGGGTGTGGAGCCTACTTAAAAAAGAGAAAGCGTGAGGTCTGGACCAAAGAGAGAGCCCATCCCCCTCCTCTGTGCACAGTCTGGCCGCCGCAGACCTAGATCAGATGGATCAGTTGGATCAGATGGATCAGACGGGTCAGATGGATCAGAGCGGCGAAGGGTCTCTAGCTGGGAGCAAGCAGGCGGTTTGCCCGGAAATGGAGGCGCGGGGAGTGTCACTGGTAGCCGGAGGGATTTCAGCTTCACCCGAAGAACTTCTGAGGGAGCTTAGCAGAGTCGGAAAGACCTGCCCTAGAAGGAGATGAGCCCCTCGTCTCTGGGACGGGGCTAGCTCTTCGCAGGGTTTGTGTGCTGGGCGACGTGACTGTCGACTCTCTCCTACCCCAATCAAGGGATGACTTGTGAACTTGGAACAGAAAGTCTGATCTGGGTTCTGTTCGTAGCTCTTTCGTGATGAGGAGAGTGGAGAAACTTCCAAAGCCCAGCGCCTCTTGAGAGTCTGTGTGATTTGATACGACGTACCTGTGTGAACTGTGCCCCTGTGGACAAGTGGAGCAACAGGAAACCAGGGCGGTGCGTGCCACCCAGGGCCCTCACTAGTCAGAGCTTCAGGAGGCTGTCGACTTTGGGGATGACGGGGGTTGGTATCTTTGTAAAACGTATTTTTCTAAAAACATACCTACTTAGCACTATGGAGTTAGTTTACAAGAAAATAGCCTCTGCCCATTACCCACGACTGCTCCCTTGCTACAGTCATTTTCAGTTCTCTTAGCTATTATTTTTTTCAGTGATTTCTCTGAGCTCAACATGAGGCTTGAATTCACAACCCCAAGTTCAAGAGTCACGTGCTCCACTGACTGAGCCAGCCAGGCACCCCATTAGCTATTTATTTTAAAAATAGGCTTCAGTGGGATGCCTGGGTGGCTCAGTGGGTTAAAGCCTCTGCCTTCGGCTCAGGTCATGATCCCTGGGTCCTGGGATCAAGCCCCACATCGGGCTCTCTGCTCAGCAGGGAGCCTGCTTCCGCCTCTCTCTGTCTCTGCCTACCTCTCTGCCTACTTGTGATCTCTGTCAAATAAATAAATAAAATCTTTTAAAAATATGCTTCAGGGCACCCGGGTGGCACAGTTGGTTAAGCATCCAGCTCTGATTTTTGACTCAGGCCACGATCTCAGGGTCAGGACATCGGGCCCTGTGTTGGGCTCCACACTGAGCAAGAAGTCTGCTTAGGATTCTTTCTCTCCCAGGCGCCTGGGTGGGTCAGTTGGTTAAGCATCTGCCTTCAGCTTGGGTCATGATTCTAGAGTCCTGGGATCAAGCCCTACATCGGGCTGCCTGCTCATCAGGGAGTCTGCTTCTCCCTCTCCCTTTGTTCCTCCCCCTGCTTGAGCTCTTTCACTCACTCACTCTCTCTAATAAAATCCTTAAAAAAAAAAAAAAAAAAGATTCTCTCTCTCCCTCTATTCCTACTCTGCCCCCTGCTCTTGTTCTAAGAAAAAAATGAGAAATTTAAATATATATATATATATATATATATATATATATATATATTTGCTTATACTACTCTTGCTTGATTTCTCATTCTAGACACTGTCTGTTGGCTCTCTTGTAACAGATGAGCCTTTAGCTCCCTTGTGACAGGACCTTGCTCCCTTCTTGCCCCAATTTTTAGGTAAATTAATACTCACTGTTTAAATTGCTATTTATATTATTATGTGAAAGTTATTCAATGTAGAGTCAAAAATTGGGATATAATTAAATTACTTTTGAATTTTTCATGGAGTTAACAATTGCCTTTTTCTTTTTCTTTCCTTTGCTTCCTTTTCTGTATATACCAATTGTTCATTCTTCCCCCATCCAGTCTAACAGTTCTTTTTTTCTGGACACTTTCTTTCATCCCCTGCCTCAGTGAGAACTGTTTGCTCCCTAAAACTGCTGCAGAGCATTTCTCCTGACTAGATGCTCTAGTTCCCAGACCCCGTGTCTTCATCTTTCATAGTTCTTTTACCCCTCGTTTGGTGAAGCATATCCACAAGTACCTTCTCTAAAAAGTCACTAGACTTAAAATTTTTAAAACATGGTCTAAAAAAATCTTTATTCCATTCATCCATGTGTGATAGCAGGTCATAAAATTAGAAGTTGAAAATAATTTCACACAAGAAAATCATTTTTGGGGCGCCTGGGTGGCTCAGTGGGTTAAAGCCTCTGCCTTCGGCTCAGGTCATGATCTCAGGATCCTGGAATCAAGCCCCACATCAGGCTCTGTGCTCAGCAGGGAGCCTGCCTCCCCTTCTCTCTCTCTACCTGCATCTCTGCCTACTTGTGATCTCTGTCTGTCAAATAAATAAACAAAAATCTTTTTAAAAAATCATTTTTAAGGCAGTTATTTCCTTGTGTTCAGATTTCTGGTAATGCTGTTGAGAAGTTTCATACCATTTTTACTCCTGACCTTCTCTTTCTCTGAGGTTCTGAAATGTCAGGACGTGCCGTACTGTGTGTCATTATGTGTTGTGCTGTAGGGTGGAGATGTATATCCTTCACTTCTACAAACTTTTGTTTTCTTGATGATTTCTTCCCATTGTCTCTGTTCACTCTGGAATTCTCATTAAACCCAGCACCTGATAAATGGTTAATTCCAGAGTGAACAGGATTGATCATCTATTTTAATTCTCTCTGTTCTCACATTGTCTTTCTGTCTGAGGGATTTTTATCTTTCTGCTCTTCTCTGGAACTGTTTTTAAGATTCCATTATTTTAATTTTCAACTCTTTCTGTTCTCTGTTCAATCTTTATCTATATTATCTCTTCAAAGACATTAGTTGAGCCCAGCAAACCATCAGTCAACAACTGACTTCTAGGGAGTTACTTCAATAACAACAGAATACACATTTTTTTTCTCAAGCTCACATGGAACAATAACCAGAACAGACCACATTCTGGTCTATAAAATATGCCTTAACCAATTTAAAATAATCAAAAGAATACATTGCTCTCAGGTCAAGATGTAATTAAACCAGAAATCACTAACAGAAGGATAGCTGGAAAATCCCCAAATACTTGGAAATGAAACAACAAACTTCTACATAACACATGAATGAAAGAAGAGATCTCAAGAAAAATTTAAAGATCTTTTGAACTGAATGAAAATGAAAACACAAGTTACCAAATTTGTGGGACTCAGCAAAAGCAGTGCTTAAAGGGAAATGTACAGCACTGAACGCATGTTTTAAAAAAGAAGAAAGATCTAAGATCAATAACTTAACTTTCCACCTTAGGAAATAAGAAAAGAGCAAAATAAGTCCAAAGTAAGCAGGAGGAAAGAAAAGAAAAAATAATTAGAGCAGAAATCAATAAAGTTGAAAATGGGAAATTAGTAGAGAAAATCAAAACTAAAAGCTGGTTCTTGGAAATCTCATCAGATTTCTATATCATCATCAAATCTCATCTCATGCCTATCTCTAAGTTTAATGAGAGGTAGAAGCAGGAGAAAAACCTCTTCTGAGAATTTTTGCCCATAAGCCAGCCTGACTAGGTTTACAACCTAAACTGACAATACCTGGGTGGTCCAAAAGACCCACAGCTGAAAAGTTAGTATAAAGTGGTGCAGGGGGGTCTGGGTGGCTCAGTTGTTAAGCGTCTGCCTTCAGCTCGGGTCGTGATCCTGAGGTCCTGGATCGAGCCTCGCATTAGGCTCCCTGCTCAGCTCGAAGCCTGCTTCCTCTCCCACTCCCCCTGCTTGTGTTTTCTCTCTCACTGTCTCTCTCTGTCAAATAAATAAAATCTTTTAAAAAATAAATAAAGTGGTGCAGGATTTGTCATCAGGTGACTGAGAAACACATTTCCCCCTCTGGAGGAATTTACTGTTGACCCAATCTCAAAAACAATCCCCCTTGATAAAATGCCAAGAAATATGAACTCACAGTCAAAACCCACAAATTGCAAGAAAATAAGACATTGTGAAGAGGAGCCACCGTGAACAATAGCCCATGTACTCAGGCCTCAGAGGCTTAAAATACTGGAATTACCAAACAATGTAAGATGTGTGTCTTCAATATACTTAAAGAAAAAAAAAAACCTAAAATATAAGTAGAGACCAAGAGAAGATATAAAATGACCAAGCAAATCTGAAAAAGAAGCAAACAAAACTAGAAACAAGAATAAAATATTTGATGTGTAAAACTCATGGAGGAATGGGCACAACCACTAAAAAAAAAAACCAAAAAAACAAAACAAACAAACAAAAAAAACCCTCAATAGATGGGTCTCGCAGGGGAAGAAAGACCTAACTGGAAGGTAGATCTGTAGAAATTATCCAGAATTCCAAACATAGATAATATGAGGATGGAGTAGAAAGGTCTCATCAGAGCTTCAGTAGGGACAGAGAAAATATGTGAAGGTGTGACTAAGAATCTTCTAGAACTGATGAAAGACATCAATTCACAGAATTAGGAAACCCAAGGAATTTCATGAGGGTAAATACAGAGGAAACCACACTCGTGTACAGTAAACTGCAAAATACTAAAGACAAAAAGTCCTAAAAGCATTGGAGACAAAAGTATCTTCAAAGGAAAAACAATAGATGACAGCTGACGTAACAGTGACAATGGAAACCAAAAGACAAAAAGACAAAATAGTATTTTTAACATATTGAGAGGAAATAACTATTAACCTAGAATTCTGCACCCAGCAAAAAGGAACTTTTTTTTTTTTTTTTTAAGATTTTATTTGTCAGCACAGCAGAGGGAGCAGCAGGTAGAGGGAGAAGCAGGCTCCCTGCTGAGAAAGGAGCACAATTCCGGACTCCATCACATGGAACTTTTTTTTTTTTTAAGATTTTATTTATTTGAGAGTGTGTGAGGAAGCAAAGGTGGGGATTGGTTAGAGCCAGAAGCAGACTCCCTGTGAGCAG